GTTGTGATGTTGTGAAGTAGATGGGGGTTAGCGCTTGACGCACGCGTGGTATCCAGAGACGCTGGGTCATTACTATGTCACAGGGTGACGTGGCATCTGGCCTGAGGCACAAAGGAAAAGGGATAATGGTAGCGGCAGCTGCTGTTTGAACGTTTTCCCTGTGCTTTTCACATGAAGTACTCCATAGCCAAGACCTTTAAAGAGGCTGGAGAGCTCATGCGAGTTGACGAAAGTCGATGTCGGTGGAGAAAAGTGGAGTCAGCCCCGTGGAGACCAAAGTGTGGAGAACGTTGGTCCTACTTGAAGAATCATCACAGTGTCACTAGGAGAGTATCATCAAGAGAGCGGCTAGGAGTTCATCATCAATCTATATATGTGCTTTCGTCTGTTTTTTGTCTTGTGCAGGTTATCCATCAAGAGCATCAAGATTGTCATCATTGTCATTTCAGTGGGGGGGTTTCATCGAGGACACCGTCATTTTTGTAATCCTCATTTGGTTACCAGTGGTAATCATCATCGGCTTCTCTAATTCGTCATCCATGTTATTTATCTTCTTTTTATCTTCTTCATGGTCATCATCCAGACTTCTCTGTAAAAATCATAATCATCGTCATCTTCTATTTTCATTACAGCAATAGTGAGCTGTCAATCTTCCACACCGATGCCATTAGGGTATCGCAAGTCCAACGTTCTTTATTTATTTTCGCCAATTTTATTTCATCATCATCATCATGATCATCTACCAATCTGAATCTTTATCATCATCATCATCATCATCATCAATCATCATCATTCATCATCAATCATCATCATCATCATCATCATTATCATCACGGTTTCGTTATTTTTTTTTTCATCAATCAGTAGTCATCTCTATGTTTTTTATTATATTCTCATCTCCCAGATAGGCTATGGTCTAGTTGGTAGGGAGGTTGGTGAGGAAGGGAGCACTACTCCGTAGGGGTAACACAAGGTGGGAGGTGATTGCCCTCCAGGGGGTAGATGTAGATGATGGGAGCTGACCTGGGCTGGGCCTGGGAGATATGTATGGCGGCGCATTATCTCCTGGAGGAGGCAGACTAAGTTAGAGTGTTAGTTTTGAGGTATACCTTTTGGGGGAACTGGTTACCTCAAGGTAGAAGGGAATGAGAAGGTTCTCTCTCTCGTTGGGGCTGATAGGAATTTCATGCTGATAGCGGGGTTTGGCTCAGCGAAGGCAGCGAGAGGAGAAGAGGAAATGAGGGGAGAAGAGGAGAATACATGGAAGAAGGGGAGGGGTGGAGAGAAATAATCATCAGCGTCGTCATCATTATCCATCATCTTTGTGATCATCTCAGGGTACTCGTCAATTTCATCATCAGAAAGTTTTGCCGATCAAGATTCTGATATTATCAGATCCTTGATTTCTGGTTGGCATTCTAGATTAGCTAATTCCGTAATTGAGTCCTCTTGTGTAATGGCCAGGTTGAGTTGGCGCCAGAACGACGCTAGCCGGCGCTGGGGCAGTGCCCTGTAACCTGCTTGTGTAGGAGCTTGAGGCTTTGTATAGAGGTCTGGTATTGCCGAGGGAGGAAGGCAATCTGCAAACTTGACTAATGGCTACAATCTGGCCAACGATCGTCAGAGCTGGGGTGGGTAGCGCTGCCCTGTAACCCAGCCAGATTGGGGTGTGAGACCGGGAAGAGGCCTGATTGGTGCACAGCACGGGCTCAATTGTGATTGGTTGTTTGGAATGGATACATGAAATTAGGGAAAGGATAGTAATTCAGTGCTGTGTAGACAATCTTTCTGATTAGTCATCATCTAGCTCTATTACATGACCTCAATCACCCACTCTGACATCCTGAATCATCCAAAATGATCCTCAATCATCCTAAATTTTCATCAATTGTCAATCATTAATGTATTTCCATTATAAGGGACGCTGGGCCCGGTTCCCAGCATGTGATGCTCCCCACGAATAGATTGGAGCAATTAAAAAAAAAAAAAAAAAAGGTGAGTGGGATAAGTAGATGGTGGGATGTCAAGCGTCCTATTAGTGAGGAGGGCTAGCTAGTTGGATGGAATTAGGGTACAGCAGCAGCGGAGATGGTGGCTCTGCTGCAGTAAGTCTTGCCGGAGGGAGGTAGAGAGGGTTGATGGCTTGTAGTAGTTTGATGTTGCAATCTTCCTTAGTAGTTCTATTTTTTCTCAGCCATAGCCGGGTAACGGCCCCGGTATCTTAAAACTTCAAAAAAATTTCAATTCTGCGTAAATTTCCATATGGGACGCTGGGCCCGGTTCCCAGCAAATGTTGCTCCCCACGAATAGATTGGAGCTTTKTTCCAAAAAAAAAAAAAAAAAAAAAAAAAAAGGAGCATCAATATAGCTTGGGAGCACTAAAAACGTTCACAGTCTGATAGCCACAGATGGAGCACCACAGAAGTCTTCAAAATACTCAAAGCCCCCAGGGACCCCAAACAAAACCCTCTACGCCCCTCCAACCCTGTTTTATTCACTGTCGGGCTCTTCCAGGCCTCACACCCCCACCCTGTTAGGTTACAAGGCAACACGACTCACCCCGGCTCCGGCCAGCAAAGTTCCGACAGTAACCCTTGGTTGTCCCTTGGAATGGCCACCCCAAAGCATCCCCAGATCTCTCTACCAGGCCTCATGCTCCTGCTATCAACAGGTTACAGGGCAACGCCCCAGCACCAGCCAGCGTCGTTCTGGCATTGGACAACCACAGATCCTGTGAGCATTACAGCATCAGAAAAGCCTACAGTGAGTTGCTCGGAGCCCCTAGAATCTCATAGCATTCTAAAAACTACTGGGAGCAACCGAGAACACCAGACTTGCTCATAAAAGAGTGAAAATCAACTGAGATTATTCGGGAGCCGACATGAACAAGACCACATTACCCCAGTGCAGACCATCCTTTTTTTTTTTTTTTTTTTTTTTTTTAAGAAACAAAGCTCCAATCTATTTGTGTCCTACAACTGCCTTAACCCCCTATCCTAGATGCCAAGCTCTACCAGGCCTGGCATCCCCAACTGCTGGGTTACAGGGCAGCGCGACCCACCCCAACTCCGGCCAGCATATATGCTCCTTTTCTTTTTTTTTCTGCTCCTTTTGTAAAGGAATGGCATTATACTCAAACTTGGATGCATCATGTATGTATGTATCATGCCATTTATTCCTTGCGTGTGCAGAGCATGATGCCACTTATTGACCAAGGCCTGGGATCAGCAGCAACAGCTGCTGCGGGACCAGATTTCTTCAGCTGTCAAGATATGCACGACATTGCAACTGAAAAAAGAGAAAAAAGAATAACATCCAACTGTTTACAGAACAAACACACCGGCACTGTGCGGCACCCCAGAGCTTTTTTTTTTTTTTTGTAAATAGAAAGCCCAGGTTGTTGTAGAGGTCAGATTCTGGACATATGACAGTCACCTTCGGTAATCGGCCATGTGGCTATCACGATGGTCCATACAGAGCCCCCTATTCCTATGAGACTCCCTCCCGACCTACCACACCCATAATTCTTCCTGGCGCACCCCCCACTTCCGCAATCCTACCTCAATGTAGACCACTCAGGATTGTCACCCTCCAGTGATCTCAGCGGGGGTGACTTGACCGGACAGCGGTCGCAGGTACCAGGGCTAAGCAGAGTCCCATTTTAACCCTACTAGTCCAGCAGGAATGGTGGGAGATCGAGGCGTAGGAGGCATAGGAGTAGTAGGAGGACGAGGTATCAGTTCTGTACTTGGGCTACGGTCTTCACCCGAATAGAACGTACAGTCATCGTCACTCTATCTAGATTCAAAGGTGTCCTAAATACAGCTGTTTTTTTTTTTTTTTTTTTTTTTTTTTTTAAGAAAATACCACCTCGTGACTGCTGATAGGAGTGATGATAAGAGCATGCACTCCTACCAGTTTCACTGGGGGCTCCAATCTATTAGTGGGGAGCGGCACCTGCTGGAAAGCAGGTCCAGCGTCCCTTGACATGTAATGGTGAACCATTGAAATAGATAGTGCTGGGAAATGGGCCCAGCGTCCCTTGTACCTCTTCACCCTCATCTGAGTGGCGCCAGATTTCTCAGCTTAGCCCTTGTACTAATTTGGGTAACAGATACTGATAAAGGCTGTTTTGCCATGACCACCTGCAGAAGAACTTAGTAGACATCCTGACCAGATCACCCGGAAATCTCCACTCGAACATCTCCTTTTCAGACATAGCCATACCAACTCAAGGGGACCAGAGATAGAGAGGAGGGGGGAAATGGGTCTGGGAACTCTGAGGAGGGGCGCAGAGGGACTGATGGGTCCACATCATACTTGCGGCGCACCGACCCTGTGCGCTGCGCGGTGCGCGGACCCTAGGTGCGCACGCACCTGTGCGCGCTGCGCAGTGCGCTGCGCTCAGGGCCGGTGCGCCGCGCGCTGGTGCGCTGGGGGGTGCGCGCTGGCGGGGCGCAGGTGCGCCGGGTGCGCACACCATTAATTATATATATTTTTATTTTACTGTTATTTCCACACACACACACACACACACACACACACACACACACACACACAGGCACACGCACACACACACAGGCACACACAGGCGCACAGTGCCGCACACACACACACACGGGCACACACACACA